AAGCTAAGAAAATCTAACAAAAATACCTCAAACTCAGTGGAGCATAATATGAAGAACAAACATATACTAATTGCGAAAACTATCATAACATATTTGACTAAACGTTAGCAACTTGAATTTTACTTACTGCACGTTTGTGATTTATTTAGGAATGCTTATTAAAAACATGTAAATATTTGCTAAACAATTATTTGATAAAACTTAATACTCATCCTCTAACACCAGTTTGAAAATTGAACCAATCTGATTTAGAATTATAGGACACACGCTTAAACCTGTTTTTCCAGTGAACAGAACAAAAAGACATATGAATAGAATTATTGAAGTGTCCAGAAAAATGCAGGTAAACTGATGAAAAAAATACAAAAAAATAAATCAGAGAAAAACAAACATATGTCTTAAGAAATAAAATTAGTAAATAATAGGTTCAAATTGACATTTTAAATAGGAAAATAACTTCAATACACCTGTAAACAATAATAGAAGAGATAAAAAAAATCTAGAACCAAAAAAGCTTCTTCAATAAGTGATGCTAAGAAAATTGGACACTCACATGCAAAAGAATGAAAGTAAACCACTTTTTCATACCATACTAAAAAAAAAAAAATCAACTCATAACAGATAAAAGACTTGTATATAAGGCCTGAAACTATGAAATCATGTAAGAAAACATAGGCAAAACACTCCATGACATAGGTTTCAGAAATATCTTTGTGGATTCATCTCCACCAGCAAGGAAAAGGGAATATAAATAAGTGGGACTATGTCAAACTTAAAGTTTCTGTACCAATAAAACAAAATGACACTTCATTGCATTGGGAGAAAATATTTACACATGATTCAATTGACAAGGGGCTGATATCAAAGATGTACAGAGACCTTATATAACTCAACAAAAAGAAAACAAAGAACCCAATCAAAAATTGGCAGAAGAGTTAAACAGGCACTTCTCCAAAAAAGATATACAAAAGGCCAACAGGCCCATGAAAAAATTTCATCATCACTTATCTTCGGGGAAATGCAAATTCACATCACAATATGACACAACCTCACACCTGTGAGAATGGCCCATATCAAAAAGATCAGAAACAGTGCATGTTGTGGAGAGTGTGGAAATAAAAGGAACACTGCTACACTGTTGGGGGGAATGTAAAGTGGTTCAGCCCCTCTGGAAAAATATTATGGTGGTTTCTCAAATAGGATCTTTCATATAACCCAGCAATTCCACTCCTGAGTATCTACCCAGAAATATAAAAACACTATTTCAAAAGGAAACGTCTCCACATTTCATGTTCATTGCAGCATTATTTACAATAACCAAATATGGAGCAAACCTAAATGGAAAAAAACAAAAACAAAAACAAAAAACAGATGAGGGGCTCAGTAAGATGTGGTATAGCTACACAGTGGAATACTACTTACCTATCAAAATGACAAAATCTTGCCATTTGTGGAGCTGAACTGCGTTATATTAAGTGAATTAAATCAGAGGAGAAAGACAATTACTGAATAGTGTCAAACATACATAGAGATTAAGATAGAAACCATATTAAAGGTCAGATAAAGCCAAACTAGGAACTAACCTAAGAAAGCTGATTGTAGTGTCTCCCCCTGCCAGAGAGGAAGGGGGAAGGCAGGGAACAAAGTGGGGAGGGAACACAAAAGCCTGTGGGTGTTTTGGTGGTGGATGTGGGTGTTAACACCTAAAAAAGGGAGAACCTATATTTCTAAAACACAAACAAGAATGTAAACCATGTAACCACAATCAAAATAATTTAAAAAATCAGTTACCCTTCTACTATTCCTTCTTTAAGTTGACATGTTCATTTCCATGTCTTCTATTACATTATATTAATCAGCAGTGTTTTGAGGTATAACTATTCATCAAATGTATATACTGTTTTCTTTGCATCTTGATTTTTTGCATGTCATTGAATCTATGAGTGAAGATAATAAAATCCACTCTATTTCTCTAGTCATAAAACATTATGAAATAAAAAATTAAAACTTATTATTTTATCCTGTCCATCTGTCTTAAGAAAAACAATGTTCAGTTTACCAAAATAACAATCATTTTTTAGAGACTTTATTTTGGGGTTTTTTTCCAAATGCTATTAATTCTTTTCATAGAATAGGCTCATTTTCATGTAACAATACACTCCAAGTAGCTTCGTGGATATTTTCTTCAAGAAGATTCTTCTAATTTGGGTTTTCAATAGGGTTCAGAGATCAGGAAGGAATTTGCCTCTCCTCTCCTAAAGTTCTGAGTAATCTCCTATCATGCTTCTGAAAGTGCTTTTATGTACAAGTCCTATTTTATCAGGTTTTATGGCGATTGTTTTAAAAAAGGAAGACACATTTCCTCTTGAACGATTATTGACTGATGGATGGCCTTATTTCTGTATTTCTGTTCCTGAAGTTTTTTTAATTTTTTTTTTTAACATGCAGGATATGTACAAAGACACATCCCAAGCTGATTTCAGGGACTTTAAATAAGTCACCAGTCTAGCTGTTTTTAGTTACAGAAGTCATTTTTAAAAATCATGCTAGTTTCTCTACTCCTCATCCTTCTTTATGTTCCAGTCAAATGGAAATACTAGGTTTTCCCCACAGTATTCTGACCCCTGCTCTTACTTACTTCCCTCATTTTCTTCCCCTTTTCTTCTGTTTGTTTTGCCTTCAGATACTGTCTCTCTTTCTCATATATTCTCATTCACGCGTTCTGCCTCAATTGTTCTCTCTCCATCTGTCCTTTAGCAATACTCTGAATGCCCGTGTGCTAGATACTGTTGGAAGTAGAAGTAAGCTTGGTTGGACACAACAAAGAGAAAGGCCAATGTATCTGGAGTGTGGTGAGGTGATGGCCAGAGAGAGAGGGCAAGAGGGTGCAGTTCACACAGCACCTTGGAAGACCTGTCACGCAGAGGAGAGGTGCCAGAGTGTGGTCATAGGGGTTGCAAATATAAATGTGTTTAAGAGGAATGAAGGAGTTGTGGGCAACAGTGAAAGCTCGAAGATCCCTTAGACAGCAAGTTTTTAAAGGCTGGCTGACTAGCAATACATACAGTGGACACATTCCAGTCAAGATTTATTTTTGAGGTAGAGTTGACAGAACTTGCCTATGGACAGGATGTGGGAATGAGCCTAAAAGAGGAATCAGAGTTCCAAGTTTCAGGCTCCAGCAAACTGTGTCTCACGCCACTTCATTGCTATGCTCTTCCTTTTTCTCTACCCTATCCTCTTTATCTTCTTTATTTTTGTTCACACTAAGAGAGTCTGGAAAGCTCTTCATCATGCCTAGGGTTAGTTCCTGCTAACCCTTCTCAATTTAGAAGTTACAAACTCCAGAAACCTTGTCTGAGATTCCTGCATTGGGCCAAAGTTACAACCAAAGGACACCCTAGTTATTTTACTCCTGGCATCAATTTCTACAATGTTGCATGATCCACAAGGACTTCCCACACAGGATTTCCAAGCCCGACTCTAGAGCCAGAATATAGCAGGTTTGTGTCCAAGCTCTGTTGCTAAACCACCAAGTGAACTCCAGGTCTCAGATCTCACATTTAAAAGACAGACAAGAAAACGGCCTACCTCAGAAGTTACTGCATGACATTATATATGTAAAATGCGTAGCACAATACTAACTGACCAAAGGCTAGGTAAATAATAGCTATTGTTATTCATTGTTATTATTTTACATTATCCATCTTTACTTAAATAGGGTTTTTGAAGAATTTAGAAACCAAACTAAATCAGGAAATACATAAATCATTCAGGAAGTCCTAGAAAAAAAATAACTCCTCAGTCACTAGCCAAATGGGTAAGATTTATTAACTAATTCAGATAAATGTGCTCACGGAAGCCATAATTATTAACTATTATTAATTAAAATTTCTCCCACTTAATTTGGGCTTTAGTTTTGGGGTCCAAAACACCACTTCCCACATGAGATGGACCCACAAGTTTATTTTTCTTTGAGGTCTCACCTGAGCAGGTACATGTTTAAAAGAGCAGAAAGAGACTGCTCACAGAGGTTGGAAGGACTGAGGGCGTGACCTCTAAATCATTTTGTACTTCCTTTTTTTTTTTTTGCAAGACATCTTGGCATCCTCCGCCACATCCGCGGCGAAAGCTGCGACGCCTCCTCCATGGCGTGTGTTAGCTATAGCCCAGTTTTCGCCCTACACATCTGTGGCCTCCGTGGACACATTAGCAACCGATACTTTTAGTGGCCTAGCTTTGCCAAGGGGGCTAGAGGTCATCTGGAAAATCTTTTGCTTCCAATTGCTTTGATTCAGGAGACCCGTTCCTTTCTTCCGCAGTGCTTTGGAAATTCGCGCCCTCCTCTGGTTCAGGTGCAGCTGCACAGGAAGCCCTAAGGGAGAAGGCAGGTGCTTGGACGGTGGAGTGGAGGGGGGCGGTGAAGGCGCCCCCTTGATGAACCCAGCGATCGAACCTGCGACCAAGCGCAAAGTAGAAACTGAAAGTACACAGCCGGCAGATCCTACGGAAGTTCTGGGAAAGGCAAAGCGCAGAGCCGGGCCGTGGTGTGTGCCGCCCCCCTTGGGATGGATGAAACATCAGGCGCGGCGTGGGTGAAAAGAGCCAGCTGCAGAGACTGCCCTACCCAGCACAGACCGGGCAACTCCGCGGAAGACCAGGGTCCTGGGAGTGACTATGGGCGGTGAGAGCTCGCTCCTGCTGCTGTTGCGGTCATCATGACCACGCCCGCCTCCCGCAGACCATGTTCCATGGTAAGCGCTCCTCTCCCGGGCGCACAAGTTCGCGCGCCCGGCACGCCGGGGGACTCCGGGACGCGCAGCGGGGCCCCGCGACCCGGCGCGTCCCGGAACAGCCCGGCCTTGCACTTTGGACTGCGGAGAGCACTGGTTCTCCCACGGGCAGCCTTCAGCCGCCCCGCAGTAGCCTGGCTGATCGCCCGTTGCACCTGGGGCTGCCGCTCCTGGCAGGCGGCTGCAGGCAATCCCAGTTTCGGCTGTCGGTCGCGAGACCGAGTGCTGCAGCCTCCGCGCCGCTCGGCGTTGGCAGCCCGAAACCCAGTCTCTGTCACTCTTCCCCAGCCAGAGTTGCCCTCTGTCATCCCCGCGCCCAACCCACCTCCCCGTTCCCCCGGCCGCCCCAAGTTACTTACAGACGCCGGGTGATAATGCGGCTCCCAACTCCCTAGAGAAGTGAAAGCGAAGCTCCCACGGGACGTGCTTTTAACACTAAGGGACAGGTCTTTGGAAAACCCCTTTTATCCCCCTCAGTGAGACGGAGTTTCCGACTGGGGCTGTACCTTCTCTTTTAGCTGGGAACCCACGTCCTCCGACTGGCACCAAGAAAAGCCAGTCTGGGTTGTTGGGGATTTGTTGTTGTTTTCCTGATGAAGGCAGGAACAGACAGACTTAACTCTACATTCTAGATACTTCGAAGATCTAATATATTTTATTTGTGCGGAATATGAACTTAAAATGGACAAGGACATACTTGAGGCCAGTTAGACTTTGTTGGCAGCGATGTTGCCAATGCAAAGAGCCGAAATTTTAGTGGAAGAAAGAAGAGGGGAAAGAGATGTGAGCGGAGAAGATCTGCTGAGAGTAATGGGGATGTTTCCTCAATACTTCAAGCCAAAGAAGGTGAGGGAGGGTGCAGGAAGAGAGCTGACTTTGCCTTTGACACCTGCTCTGAGAACTTTCCTGGAGACACCTTTAGATCAGGGGTGTTCTGATCTAAATTCTGTTCTGATCTAAATTCTTGTTAAAGAAACAAGAATTTAAATAGAAACAAGAATTTAAATAACTAGTGAGTAAAATAAAAGGGGGATATAGAGTATGGGAGCAATTATGGAAGATTTACAATGGGCTCCTCCAGGAGTTTAATACAGAATTACATATTGTGCTTTTCTAACAAAGCCCATCTCTCTACCTTGCTGCCTGGATAGCTCCAGGTTTAATCCTTGCATTACCTCTGATCTAAAATGGAGTTGTAAAATAAAAAAAGAAAGCTAAAGGGAATATTGTTAACAAGGTCACTTCTTGAAGTATATCCCTGGTAACTGTGTGCCACAGTTTGTGAATTGGTATCAGTTATACATACATATTTATAGAGAGAGAGAGAAAGAGAGAGATAAGAACTCTAAACTTCTAGTAATGGTTATTATAATGAATGGGTTTCTGCATTTTGTTCCAAAAATATTTCACTAGTTGCTCTCTATTTTTATTCTTTTCCACTTCTTTTGGGAATAGATCCTAGTTGAGGATCTACTAAATGACCGTCAACTGTGGTTTCTGGTTTAGGGAATTTAATCATAATTCAGGACTGAAAAAAACAGAATAATAAAAATAGATAACTGAAAAAGATTAGGAAGTCTGAATAGGTTTAAAGGAGATTTACACATAATATGACATCAATGCTTAAACAGTTTAAAATGGAAAATGTGTTTCATTGTATGGCATATATATGTCACTTATTTGTGATGTTCACATGAGATTTTTTTTCCTGGTCTTCAACATACAACCTAGTGAGTGTAATAAAAGCAGTTTTTTTTTAAAAAAAATGAATAAGTGTATAATTCAGTGTTTCAGAGCTTGGCCAGGAAATAGTTGAGTGAAGTTCACTTTAGTGGGAAATTTTGTTCATTCCCCTTGATAACACATACACAGTTATTTTTTTAGAAAGCAATGTAGTTCAGTGACTAAAACCTGAGTTTCTAGACTCTTAAATCCAACAGATATGGAATTGATTCTTGGCTTTACTAGACCCATTTTATATGTGAAAGAAATTTCTTTGAGTCCTAGACTCACTCTCCATCTGCAAAATTGTGAATAATTGGTAGTAGTTACCTCGTAAAGTCTATGAGATTAAATGAAATATTGTACACAATATTATAAGACAACTGCCAAAATATATTTAAGTGTTTACCATGGTATAATTTATGGTTCACACTTAATATTGGTTGTGAAAAATGTTTGATTCATTTATGTGGGCATAATCAGACTTCTGTTTGTAATTTTTAAAAGCTGATTTCCATACAACAAATGGATATTTTCTACTTTTATTAATTTGGCTTTTTCTTCATTCATCCATTCGCTGTGCCTACTGTTCATGTTAAAGACACATTTTATACATTCGTATAATGTCTTCCAATCTATCCTGAAATCATTCTGATCATATTTATATTTTTAAATTCCCAGTGAAAATAGATATATGTAATGTTTATAATAAACATTGAATAAACACTTATTGAACTTAACAATTAGTGAATGATTGGATTTGAGGGACTATGAAAACTAATTTATTTATGTTCACTTTGACCCCATAACTTACACAGCTGAGAACTGAATGTATTATTTGGCTTAAAGTAAAAAACCAACAAGAATTTTTTGAACAGTCATCATTCTGGTTTAACCAAAATCCCCACTGAAAACAAATTCTCCAGTTTCAATCCCTTCAGGAGATATAAAGACAAGTCCATCTTTATGGTTTGTCTTCTCTGTAATCTAATGAAAAGTTCAGGGTGGGGGAAGGGTAGATGTCTATGTATAATCTGAAACCAAACTAAATGCAGAGTCTTTTCTCATTGTGTTAACAATGTCAAAGGCTCACTCAAACTTGGCAATACTAACATGCTACTCTCAATGTGTTATGGAGGAAAGATTGCAATCACTGACCAAATTACAAGTTGTTAACGAGTAATCTAGGAACCTATGAGATGTGAGTCCTCGGTCTTGGCGGCTTGTCTTTGAGGTTGTTTCAAATCTAAACAATTACTGCATGTTGTAATTGGGTATATTTGCTATTTGTAGTTGTATAACTATTACATATGTATTATATAATGTATATACATATATTTTATACATTTATATATATGTGTGTATATATATATATATATATATATATATATATATATAGCTGGTAAACCATCTTACATATTTTTTTAAAGTATATATGTATATCTGTACTGGTAGAATCTTAGGATTGAGGAACTTAAGAACTAGAAGGGAAAATAAGTTTTCATTTCATTAATCTGCTATGTGAAGTTTAAAAGATTCTCTGTTATTCATTCAGTCACATATCTCATACCAATATAGAAACCCTGAGTCTCCTATGCCAAACCTTTTGTACTTTGCATTGTCTTTGTCTAGCCTGAGTTAGCTCATTTAGCAGCATTGATGGCAACAGAAGACATTCCTTAAAGGCAAGACAAAGTATGTTTTAGGATTGAGAAACTAGTTGTGATACACACAAAGAAGACTGAATTTTCCATTATCATTTGAAAATATTGATACAATGTCATCCATTGAATGGGTTGATTTGAATTTTGAGAATAATTACAGAAAAATGGGGTGAAGAGGACACATCAGATAGTGCTCGTAGGAAATTAACTTCCTTTAATAAAAGATAAATGATGAATCTTGGGAATAGCATCTATGTTATGTAAGAATGTCTCTCTTTCATTCCAGTATTTTATTTATTTTATTATATCATCTGTAAAGTTCATTTCAAATTATATCCTGTGTAACTCTTTCTTAGTAATCTCCTCCCAGTATAGACACAGTTAAACATCTATACAATGACAATATATAATGCTTGCTTTTATATAATATACACAAAACTGATACAAAGTTACAACCTAGTAAGTAATTAGCAGTTGATCTCTGAGGATCTTCAGGATGAAGGAACTGTATGTAGTACAACAGAGAGGCAGACCTGCATATTATAGAGAAGAGGTTTTTTATTGTAAGGAAAATGTGATTCCATATTATTAAAAGATTATGGGTTTTTGATCTAATGCTGGTGAGGAAGAAAACTCAGGTTCGAATATATACCTGGTACTATCACTTTGTAAAGTTACTAACTTGCAGGGCCACCTTGGTGGTACAGGGTTTAAAGTCTCAGTGCTATCAGCCACTGAAACTGAGGCATGAGTTTGATCCCCAGCCAGGAGCTAACGCACATATATGGTGCAGCAACCTTTCCTGTCTCACCCACTGCTCCCCTCAGCACTGCATTTCAGTCAATCTGCTTGTTCTGCTCCCCAGCTCCCCACTATGTCTCTGGTGAATCTGCTCACACTGCTACACCTTTGGCCTACACCCCTACACCAGTTCTTGTATGCATATGGTTTACCAGCTATATATATATATATATAGATGGCAAACCACCTTACATATTTTTTTTAAAAAGTCATTAACTTGCAGGACTCTTGATTTTAGAAATGATAGGTATTAGGGCCCTCCCTGGTGGTGCAGCAGATTAAAGCACAGCACTAAGAAGCTAAAGCCACTCCAGCATGGGTTCTATCCCTGGCCAACAGGTGACACACATGGTGCGGCAGACCTCTCCTGACCCACCCGCTGCTCCCCTCAGCAGTGTACTTTATCAGTTGGCATGTTCTGCTTACCACTCTGTCTTTGGTGAATCCTCTCACTGCCCCTTCACCTCTGTCCTGTATCCCAGCCCTGTATGCATAAATAAATAAATCTTTGAAAAAAAAAAAGAAAAGAAATGGTAGGTATTGGGCACCTATGTCTGGCAAGTGGTAGGTACTCAATTAAATTAAAGGCAACCAGCATCATAATGATTATTCATCGCCTAAATGAAGTCTTGCTCACCATACACAAAGATATTTAGTAGCAGAGTTATGCATAGATTCGATGTCTCAGACTTGGATTTTCATTTCTCTTACCTTCCAAGTGCCAGTGACATATGCAAATGAGCTATAGGATTTATGTTTATTCCCATATATGTTACCCAGCTTGTTTCTGAATTTATAAAAGTATAGGCCACTAACAGCACATTCTATTTGGGGGAGTGCTATTATTGGTTTTTATATGACAGATAATAATATATTAAGTGACACTGTTACTGGGAACTTTTGATATACTTAACAGTCTTTAGGTCATTGTAACAATATTAGTTCCTTGGTTACAAGGAGTGGTATTCAGATTCTTAATCAGAGAAGGCACACCTGAGACATACCTTGCACTCAGACAGTTAAGGTGCATTTGGGAAATTATAGGAAATATATTGCTGACATACTCAAGAGTTTTTAGAAAAATGCAAAGATGCCACTATGGCAGGCTCATAAAAAATAGGTCTCAATATAAACAAATTTTAGCTTCTGTGAGCATCACTGGTTTTCGATACAATGTATTATTGCTGCCACAAATTATATCATTGATAACTTCATTCCTTTTTTTTTTTTAAAGATTTATTTATTTATGCATACAGAACTGGGGTACAGGTCAGAGGTGCAGGGGCAGCGAGAGGCTTCACCAGAGACAGAGTGGGGAGCAGAACAGACAGATGGACTAAGTACACTGCTGAGGGGAGCAGCGGGCGGGTCAGGAGAGGTCTGCCTCGCCATGTGGATCTCCTCTGGGGCAGGCGGGAATCGAACTCATGTGGAAGTGGCTTTAGTTTCTTAGTGCTGTGCTTTACCCTGCTGCACCACCAGGGAGGGCCCACTTCATTCCTTTTTACTTGACAGTTGCTTCTAAATGGGGAAGTTTATCAATAACAAATATAAGTTATTAGTTAAATAGGTCTGAATTCACATTTTTTTTAACAAGACGCTAGATAAAACAGTATTTGAAGAAGTCCCTGGGCACGCAGAAACTGAAAATATTGATAAGATAGGATAAGGAATCTCAAAGTATAGATGCCAACTTTGACATAACTGTCAAAATTCTGGAAAGAGTCAACCTTTAAGCTCTGTTATAAAAGAGAAATAGCAGAGTGCTGTATACTATGAGATCAACTTGCAATACTACTTCCAGGAGGGACTGGACATTTGGATGTCCATCAACCTTTACATAAATATATAATCACAGGACATAAAACTTTAGACTACTTACCCTTTTACCTGTAGATATAAAAATTGAATAAATCATATTTATACCAGAGATGATTTTCTGAAGGATGGATAATCTACTCTCATTATATTTGGGCTGCACTTTCCCAAAGAATAACTTCCAGGTGAAAAGAGATCGAAACTAAAATGTTGCCCCACTTTGCTCATAGCATACTATGCATATTTAGGGTTCCTCCTACAGTCCCCCAAAACTGGGATACACTTTTTAAATATGAGAAACAAGTGATCAGGTCAATTGAATATCACAATCAAATATAACATTATGTGTGACATTTAGCTTACTCTTACTTACTGTTGAATTTAGTTTCTTTTAGGTATATCTTTGGAATTCCACCCCTGATCCTTGTACTATTGCCAGTAGCATCATCTGATTGTGAAATTGATGGTAAAGAAGGCAAAGAATATGAGAATGTTCTAATGATCAGCATCAATTACTTGGTATGTTCTTGTTTAGTTGTCCTTACATTTTAACTTTTAGGAAAAATTGATATGTACTGTTGGTATGCAGATTTTTGTTCAATTAGCCATCTATATTCCTTGAAAAGAAGGTATAATAGTTAAAGAATAAAATTTAATAAACTAATAACTATACAATTTTATGGTTACTATATATTATATTTTTTAAAAATAAGTCTTTCCTATTCATTTCAGTCCAGTTTCCTTCATTAACAAATTTTTATAATTTATAATTTAATATAACTGCACTACCTCACCTCCTGTTGACAATTCCTATAAAAGCTTTAGAGTAGAGGAAAAAACATTTTAAAATTATTATGAAAATAGATGTGTAATTATTTTATCAGAATGTGCATATATACATATGTGTGCCTATATGTATATTTATACATGTGTATTTATATGTAACTTTCTGTAAGCTAATTTTTTTATTTGCTGTATTCTTTTAATTCACAGATTTTCTTTTTTAAAGCAGTTTAGTTTTACAGAAAAGTTCGGAGAAAGTAGAGTATTCCCACATACCTGATTTCCATCTGCCATTTTCCCTGTTATTAGTATCATGCATTTTGTGGTACATGTGTTACAACTGATGATCCAATATTAATATATAATTATTAATTAAAGGCTGTAAATAACATTAGGGTTCACTCTGTAAAGTTCTCTGAGGTTTGACAGAGTATCATGGCATATACCCACTATTTCTCTTTGTAAGTCTTTCTCCCTCCCCCTGATCCCATAGCAACCACTAATCTAGTTATGATCTCTTTATTTTTTACTTTTCTGGAATGTCATATAGTTGGAATCCTGTATTATGTAGTTTTTTTTTTTTGACAAGTTGTATGTAAGTTTCCTCACTGAATTTTTGTGACTTGATAGCTCATTTCTTTTTATTGCAAACAATAGTCCATTGAGTGAATGTATCACATTCACTGAAGGTTGGATGACTCTGATTTTTGGCAATTATAAATAAAGCTTCTATGAATATTCATGTGAAGGATTTGTTTAGGCATATATACTTAACTTACTTGGGTAAATGTGTAGCAATATAATTCTAGATTCCATAGTCAGATACTATGTTTAAATTTGTATTAAACATACCAATTGTCTTCCAAAGTGACTGTACCATTTTATATTTTCATCAATAGTGACTGAGTGTTCCTGATGCCTTATGGCCTCTAGCATTCAGTATTTTAGTATTTTGAGTTTTGGTCATTCTCATTAGCATACCATTAAATCTCATTGTTTAAATGTGCAACTCTTATTGACATGTGTTGTTCAGTATCTATTCATTTATCTATTGACATCTGCATATCTTCTTGGGCAAAGTACCCAAATTAACATCTTAGTTGACATCTTCAAAATATTGAATCTTAATATCCATGATTATGGAATATCTTTCCATTGATTTAGATTTTCCCTGATTTCTTTTCATCAATGTTTTGTAATTTTCCTTATTTCCTTATTTCATTTCATAAATTCTAGACGTAGGCTTAAGTATTTCTTATTTTTGATACAAATATAAATGGTGTATTTTAAATTTAAATTCCAATTGTTCACTGCTAGTACACAGAAAAGCAAATTATTTTTGTATATTTACCTTGTACCCTATAACTGATAATTGATTACTAGTTCTAGGAAGGAAGTAATGATAATGATTCTTTGTGATTTTCTACAAAGCCAACTATAAAAGTTATTTGTTTTAGTTTAAAAATTTTCTCATTATATATTTTTTTATAATAGTAAGTCCTTAAAATCACGAATGGTAAAGGAAAACTCATAAATATTTATAACGTGGGAGAAATTGTCTAATCTGCCTTGTTCTTCCATTCCATTGGCTCTCTACACACTAACACTGAAGTCACAACTCTGTGTTCTACCTCTTGGTAGTATATTGGAAATTCAAGATAATATTGGACATTGTACCATGAAAATCTGTTGATTTTGCCCCACTGACTAGGAAAATAAGTGCACAGTAAAGAGTAAATGCCCCCATTTTACATTTCATACATATTTTAAGTTTCTTGCATTAAAAATGCTACCAAACTAATCTTTTGGGGTCAAAATAATGATTTTTTTTGAAATTTAATGTCACCTGATCAGTGAATAAAAAGACATTAGCTCTACAATGAGTGTCAATAACCATATGTGTGCAAAATTCTGCAAAAAAAAATGTTACTGGCAACACAAAAGAGGGCAAGTTTTAGTTACCAGTTTCATAGCACAATTTTTCTGTAAAGATCAATTTATCTCATTAAAATGCACAGGAGCAACAAAAACAGAAGCCACCACAGTGGTACTATGCAAACACAGCAAATCACAACTACTCGAGATTAATTCAATAACAGGAAGGAGCAGGATCACATCAATCCAAGAGAATAGTAATAATGCTCTGGTAGTGTCAAGAAAGTTGTGTGTCAGCATGCAGGGATACATTTGCAGTAAGGAGAAGGAAAGTCACAAAGGATTGTTTCTATCAAAATGACTGACTGGCAGAGGTTTATTTCCATATTCACTCAGTGTGTATTAGATGCTTTGCAAACATGTGCTTATATTTTAGGGAGACCTTAATGCTAACATTTATGAAGTTCTTGTTATATACTAGGTGATTTTCAGGAAACTAGTTCAACCTTCACAGCACCCTTATTAAAGAGCCCTCTTTTTTTAAAGATTTTTTAAAATTTTACTTTTAAGATTTATTTACTTATACACACAAGAACAGAGGTACAGGCCAGAAGTGGGGGTGGGGGGAGAGGATTTACCAGAGACAGAGTGGGGAGCAGAACAGACACATTGACTGAAATATTTCATTGCACAAAGGCAGGCTTGGGTTTGTCCAGTTTGTAGGTGATAGAGCCAGGATCTGAGCTCCTGCTGTTAATCAAAACTTCCCACTAACAATCTCTGTGTTAACTTACCAACAATCTCTGTGTTAACTTACCACTCAACAAACATTTGTTTAAGCCAGCTGTATGCCAGTTATTTGTGGGTAACCCTTTTGTGAGGTGGAGTGGATATGTATATGAGGATAGACACAATTTTTATAGTAGCTTACCTTTGGTGATACTTAAGCCTTGGTTTGAAAATGCAAGTTGCAACTTGACAAGAAGGAAGAGAGGCTGACAAACAGTCATTACAAAAGAACAGACTGGTTGTGAAGCAGGCTTGGAAATAAAGAAATAGAAATGGTTTTGAGGAGTTGAGGGGATCAGCTCGGCCTTAGCTCATAGATAATGTGTAGATACAGGCTGATCTTCAGAATTTTTAAATAGAACACCCCTTTAGAAAACAATTTTTGAATCTACACTTGTCATTTGTCATTTATTTACATATCTAGCATTTTCATGGTAATTTTGATGTATTAATAATGATGCATACAAAAACTGAAAATTTACACCGGATAAAGTAAAATTAAATGTAGATATAATTCATAAAATTTTCCTCCCATACTGCTGTGGATTTCCCTTTGTGGGCTCTACTTTGACATCACTAGAAGCAGAAGTTTTCAGTAGATCAAAATGGTATAGCAAGACCATGGATCATCTTAATTTCATGGTATTTAGGCTTTACTTGAAACATCACCAAAAATGAACAGTAATCTAATCATAAGGATAACATTTAATTAAAATACAAATTTGTGAACATTTTCTATTTGCAATTTGGAACATATAAAAATAAATAATAACCTTTGCTCTTCTATAATCTATAAGAATGAGGGATTCACATACCAGTATAATACAAAATGACAGCAGTACAATTTCATATATCTATATATGAGTAGAGATATTACAATATCTCTATAAGGATATAATAACAAAAAACAATGGATAACACAAATTTATGGATCACTAAATACCAACTGCTCTAAGCACTTTCCATATATTGATTTATATAATTCTTATAATAGCTAAATAATTAAAAAAACTGCGACTCAGGCTCTCCCTGGTGGTGCAACGGGTTAAAACACCCCATTATGGAGCTCTCAGAAGCTACTGCAGCAGGAGTTTGATCCCTGGCCAGGAAGCTGACCCACATGGCATGGTAGACATCCCCTGAACAGCCTACTGCTCCCCTCAGCAGTGTACTTCAGTACATCTGCCTATTTTGTTCCCCACTCTGTCTCTGGTGAATCTTCTCACCCACCACACCTCTGGCCTGTACCCCAGTATAGATAAATAAATCTTAAAACAAACAAACAAAAAAACAAAAACAAAAACTGAGACTCAAATCACATCACTGGCAACTGGCAAGCTAGAACTTAAACCCAAGAAATAGAGTTTCAGACAATGCCCCCATTATTACAAGGCAAATTAGATAATAGCGTCTAGTTGCAATGAAAACATAATCACAGAGAGGTACAAGAAATGTGAAGATGGTGACTGGTTTGGTTGAACTGTAGGAAAAAAAGACTGTGAACTGAACAGATATGATGAAAACAAATCATACAAAGCAGATCAAAAAGCTAGAATCAAGCTGTAGACACGAAAATAGAAATTATATGAACTATTTACATAGCATTCCAAAGAAAGCAGAGGGTAGGTATAAGATTCAGATATCTATCAAAATAAGGTTTATGAGGTTTATAACAAATAAGTTTTAAGTCTCTTTCTATATTGTCTGCAATATGGACTATATGTTCCCATAATTGAGATGATTAAGCTAAATGGAATCAACATTTTAACTTATACATAGCTCTAAATTATAGTCTCGAAGAGAGGGACCCAGTATGTTTCTTACTGCAATAGTCAGATCATCGCTCTTGTCAGCATCAAGTATTTTTGCTTATAAAAGTGCCAACACAGGCTCTCCCTGGTGGTATAGTGGGTTAAAACACCACAGTAAGAAGCTAAAGCCACTTTAGCATCAGTTTGATCCACACCCTGAAGGTGATCAACATGGTACAGCAGACCTCTCCTGACATGCCCACTGCTCCCCTCAGCAGTGTACTTGGTTAGTCGGCCTGTTCTGCTCCCCACTCTGTCTCT